GCAAGAGATAGATATCGATACCTGGCTGTTGTCTTGCTCACAACTTGACACGCTGAAGTCGCGGCGCTGAATAAGCTGAGTCGGCAGAGCCTCTGCTTGAGTGAGGCAGAGTGAGAGAGGGAGAGGGGCAGAGAGTTGCGAATTAATCATAACAGATCACGCGCGCACTCTCTTCCTCTCACTCTCCCTTGCGCTTTCTGTTATTAATTACATTTTCTTTTGGTTTTTGTTTTGTTTTCTTCTCACTTCTGCCGCGCTGACACATACGAAATTTGGCCAAAGCTTGAGGTGAGTCAGCAGATTGAAGAATTTGTTTGGATTAGGTTTATCGCACTATACGATGCGACTCAAGATAAAACTGTTAAATTTGGCATGCAATCGGAAGAGATACAATGCCGCTGCTCTATCAATTTCTTAACTGAATGAAAGTAGAAATGGAGTTTAGTTTGGATAGGGTATATATTATATTATTCAATTATAAAAAGATTGTCAGGTAGATAACTCAAAATAGAATGCTTAAAGTTACATATATAAGGTATAGTATGTATTAGAACTAGGTCAACAATTGATTACCTCTATGGAAACTTTCTTATCTTAACTGAAACACTAAGCCCGCAAGTCCAAACTCTAACAAATTCCAGTCAAATACTCCAAGTAATTGTCGAGTTATCGATAGGTCCATATGTGCGCACCGTTATGCAATTAGCCAGCATATCTATAAATAGCCAAAGCAAATGCGCTGCTCATAAATTTCGAGCGATGCAGCAATATCGAAATAGTTGCGACATTCAACGTTGATAGCGATTCGACTCAATTACTAGCAATAGGAGTAGACTGCGAGAGAGGTAGAGGCAGGGGGGTGATTGTGGGACAGTCAGAGAGTAAGGGGTGCAGACAGCTGGCAGACGACTACGAAGCCGCCGCCGCCTTCTCTCTCTCTCACTCACTCACACTCTGCCTGCGCTGCATTGCCACGGGGGGGTTGAATGCGCACGGAAGTCGTGGCATAAGGCACACATCAATGCCAGGCGAGGGGTGGGGGGTCGGCAACAACAGCTATTATATGAACTAACAAACATGCAATTGAGCAATTGAATTGTGAGCGAAAGAGGGCGAGAGCGGGCGTTAAGTAGAGCGTGAGTGTGAGCGAGATGGGCAGATGGCGAGCTGCTCGAGCCAAAGGCAGCTGCGACATTTTTAGCTGAGTTTTCGGTTTGAGTTTCCAGGATAATTACAGCGAACGTTAGTGACATTTCACTGTATGTGTGTGTGTGTGTGTGTGAGTGTGTACCTTTGGCTAAATCTTTTGTGCGCTAGGATTTCTGAGCTGCTGCTGCTGCTGCTGCCACAAATTTGCAGCAACTGCAACGGCAACGGCAGCTGAGTTTATGTTTATTGCCAAACTGAAACACTGGCAGAAAAAAAATCGTATTTTTTTTGGCAGTACGTAAATCACAGGTAAAATCCAGAGAACAAGAAATTCTTGTTTTAAGGAAAGGTAAAAGAATTAAAAATGCATAAATATTAAGGAAAGAAAAATTTATGCAAATGAGAAAGTAGAATTTGGATTAAATATTTTAAGATTATTTGCAATACAAAAAGTACTATTTTTTTATATTCAATATTAATATCTTATATTTTATTTCTGAATTAATATTATTATATTTAAAATTAATAATGTTATTATTCATCAAAGTAAAAAAGAAAAAACCTTAGATAATTATTTTATATACATATATATATATATATATATTTTTTTTTTGTAAATTAATAATAACATTTAATTTAAATTCGAAATTCAGCAATATAATTTTTTTTTTTTTTGTGTTTGCAAAATATATTAAAAAGTATTTGAAGAAAATATTTCTTTGTTATCGTTTAGCTATAAATTTATTTAAAAAACCAAAAATAATAAAACCTATGGGAAATTAAATAATAAATAAAAAATTAATAAAATATAACATTATAATAATAATATAATAAATTTAAATAAATTAAAAATTATTTTAAATATTACTAACAATGTTAGTTTTATTCTAAAATCAAAAATCTGCCTAGGGCAAAATATCCATTATCTAAGCAAACCAGATTTCAAAGTCTCTTCCAGAATCTTGGAACTGCGAGAGTCGAGTGCCTCTCCGAGTGGCGGCAGCTGCGCTCGCAGTGCATGAATTGCAGTTGCTGCCGCTGCCGCTGCCGCCGCTGCTGCTGCTGCTCCTATTCCTGCTGCTGCTGTTGTTGTTGTTCTTGTTGAAGTCTAAATTTCGTTAACGTGACAAAAATACATTGATTACATTTTTTACATGGCGCCCTGAGAGTGAGCGAGAGCGCAGCATAGGAAGCAGATGTAAAGGGGCAAGGGGAAGGGGAAGGGGAAGTGGAAGGGGGAAAAGGAACAAGACGCACGAGCCGCGGCTCGAGCGCTGCTCACGTCTGCACACTTGGCACATTTGTCTCCTGCCCACTATCTCTCTCCCCCTTTCCCACTCTCTCTCACTCTCTCCCTCTCTCCCACTCATGCCATCTCTATCTCAGTGTAAACAGCTCAAGAAAATATGCACGTAGAATCCTGTGTGCATCCTGTGCTGGTCTATGTGTGTGTGTATGTGTGTGCAGTTGTCTGCCTCTGTTGTTGTTGTTGTTGTTGTTGTTTCGCCTACGTGCAGAGGTCTTTGAACTGACAAATTATATTGCTCGTCGAAACGAAATTCCTTTCACCGTGTGCACTCTGAACTTTCTTTATGTGCCCTCTGTCTTCCTCTTTACACACAAACACACACACACACACACACAGTTATGTACATATGGGTGTGTATCTGTGCTCTGCACGATTTTCTTCTTTGTAAATAGTTCGACATTCTTGTAGCAAAGTTTATTTTCCTTGCAACAACAAGAACAATTGATATACCCTGTAAGGTATATGACCTCAAATTTGGTATTATGAATAACAGAATAAAACTGTTATACAAAAGAAAGCAGCTCGTTTCATGTAGAACTAATTTTTATCAAGATACGTAGCTTATTAATGCATAGGCTAAACTATATTAAAACTGTTATACAAACCATGTAATAAAATAAGGAAAATGAAAACTGTTATACAAATAAGACAAATGTTTCATAAGAAAAACTGTAATTCAGAACAAAGATGTCAATAGTGTCAGGTATTACAGTAAACCATTTGGGAATAACCCAAACTGTTATACAAAGCTTATAATGCATAAAAGAACACTTTTATATATACAACATACAAAAGTTATATAAAAATCAAGCTGTTATACGAGAAGAAAAGTGTTATACTACATATAAACACATATATAACAGTTGAGACTATGTTATACTATTAGCACATATGCCTAATGCCATCATTTTACAGATTCAAATCAATATAAATTTATGTTTATTTACATTTGCATGTAAAACCTTTACTTGCTTGATTTTACAGGATATTCCAACGTCTTTTACACTCTGAGTTAATTATTTTCACTTGTTTTCAATTTTAATTTGCTTACCCACACACGCGCGCACTTCTGTTCTCCTATATATGTATGTGTGTGTGTGTACATATGTCTCGGTGATTACTTCATCCATGCCATTACAGTCCCCCTCCCCCTCTTCCACGTCAACCGCCCACTTCAGCTGCTCTTGCATATTGCTTTTTAACTACTTTCACGCACTCGCGCTTGGCAACGGCACTCGAGAACGCGCGTGCATTGCTTTCCAGCTGGAAATCGTTATAAAATTGGCAAAATTGCTGTGCGCGGGTGGTTTTAATTGTTTGCGGTTATCAGGTGGGCGGCTTCGCTGGCCATTTATTGCGAATGCTTCAATTGTTTAATTGTTGTCGAAACGTTTTTCAGTGGGATGAGTTGACTGAATGCCACTCAAAGTGACGAAAGTGGATCGAGTGTGTGTGTGATGATTATATAAGCTATATCTTATAGATTGATCAGCTTACACGATATTTACACAATAATGTTGGCGACAAACTATCAACGCAATCTTATCGGCCAAAGTGCTCACGTCTTATCAGTAAATCAATATTTCACAACGGAAATGCCTGAAGAAATGCGTTGCGAACTGCTCAAGCGCACCTCGCATGCCGCTCAATTAACGTGTGCGCCGTGCTATGCAAATGACACAAGCAAAAAGTAAGCGCCAAAAATATATATAATCTTTTTTTTTTTCATATAATTATGCATCAAGAAGAACACACCAAAAGCCGAGCAGAAGAATAACAAAACGAAATCAACAACAACAACAACGACAACAGCTATAAAATCACGGCAGCTGAGCACTGAAATGAATGGAATGCCGCGCATGCCTACTATAAAGCAAGAGCGAGCAGCACAGCACAAGTCAGATCACACCTCTCACGCTCGCACACACATTCACACGCGCACGCATGCTCTCTTCGTTGCGCTCTCTCTCTCTCTCATTCTGGACAGTTGCTACCGGTTCGGGCATAGCGCACAGCTGTGCAATACGTCACGGCAGAGCGTGTGATAAGCAAGAAAAGAGAAGAAGCAGCAGAAGCAGCAGCAGCAGCAGAAACCACCACGAACAACTACAACAAACGATGAGGCGAACAATGCGCCGCATTATGCGAAACTTGTGTACAATATGATTAAGCAAACAACAGCAACAACAACAACAGCAACAACAACAACAGTGATGCAGACTTGCTCGCAAACTGGGCGCAGCAAGCAGCAGCTGCTTGGGCCGATAGCTCGTGTGGCTCGCTCTCATCAGGTAAAGCAAGTCGGGCGCGCTCTCACCCTCTCTTGTCTTAAGCCTCGTACCTCGCCCTCTCTCCCTCACACACTCTCTTCCAAGTGCCCCACACACAGTCATTCAGGCGCTCTGCTTTTGAACACCCTCAGCGGCTTACGCATAGCCAGAGCTGCCTCGCTCTCTCGCTCTCCCATCGTCTTACGCTCTCTCAGACGGCAGCGCAACTTCGGCTGTGTCGCTGACTGCGCCGCATTCGTCATTCGGTCGCAAACGTTCGAACAACGCAGACGCAAAGGCTGCGATCGTCGCGTTTCATTCAAAACGATTTTTTTCGTCTTTTCGTGTTTGCGCGTTTTGTGTTTTGTTTGCTGTTAACTGTTTACCGTTGTGCAGTGTAAAACTATTTACAACACCATAATTGTGGGTGTCCAGCACCGCCCACCCCACCTCCCCCTGGGCTTCACACACACTCGTTTCGGTTGTGCTTTGTGTGCCGCATTCGTATGACACGTGCTTCTCATACGGATTCTCCCACTATCAGCATTCCATAAAAGAAATTAACAACAGCAACAACAAAAACTCAATTGGGATTACCTCGACTTTTGTTTATCAATCACGACGTAACGGTAAGTTGACCATAAAGTGAATGCAGTGAATACTTCCATTAAGGAACAACAAAACTTGCAGACAAAAGGAAACTGAACTTTTCTTCTTCTCATATTAATGCATGAATACAGTTAAGATTGACTTTAATAATTTTTGTTTACAACTGAACTGTTCTCTCGCAGAGTGTTTACTGTACTGCCAAGGAACTTGGAATTATCGAATTATATATATTTTAGGCATAAACTTCTTTTACTTTTCACATTTCTCTGACCTTTCTCATGCTGTTCTTCATCAGTGAGTTCACTGTACTTAGGTCATATCATAATACTTTTATGTTTATGTCTGACCCCAATAGGCCAGTGCGTTATATTAATATTTATCCAGCTTATCAATGAACATATATAAACACAAAAGTCGTTTTCCTTCTATATAAACGCCCCTCATTAAAAGGCGACCCCCAACAGACCCACCCGCCTCCCCCCGCCAGCACTTCCAACTAACTGTAATTGCTAGTATGTGAACTTTATTATGCTGAGGAGTCGACGATGCCACGCCTAGCGCCCACCGTTTATGAGTCAGGAATTCTGTTTGTTTTGCGCATTTATCTTAAAGTTCTCTCGCTCTCACTCCCCCTCTCGCTCTCTCTCTCCTTCTCGCTGTGTGTAGATCCCAATGAGTCATGCAGCAGCTCAGGGAAACAATGTGACAACCTGACAAAGATATACAACTATATATGTATGCATGTGGATTTATATATATATTCACACAGATCATTCAGTAATTCACATTTTATTTTGATCTATAAATGAGTTGACTAATCCATTGGCTTCAAATGGGTATTACTTATTATGGAGCTGTTTGCGAAATGAGGAAGCTTTACTTTGCTAATGCACCAGCTCTGTGAGAAGTGAATCAATGTATGACAAATTGATGGACGCTTGGATACCATGTAAATGCTTGACAATCAACACGATACGATTGCAATCGATTGGTAGACGGTTAACGATGCCTAGATCTATAGATTGGTCAATATGATTCTGGCAGATTTTCATAGATCTGAAGCAATGGGTCTCTATTATATACCCCCTCCTCTCCACAAAGCCAACTAGGGTATTTTTGCCTAGGAAATTTCATGCATTCATAATTGTGTCATAATATTTAGCTCTTGTTTCAAAATTTTAATTAAAATATGCCAAACAAACAATTTGGCTAAAACATATACAAATTTCTACATACATACATATATTTAAGCTACATTCCATATTTGTACCATTTATGTATATTTCATATTTGATTTGAGATCTTCTCTACTTAATTGATAAAATGTCACAACTTTACCATAAACTAAAATGAATTTTGCATGCCATTAAAATGTTTGTTTATATTATGAATGATTTGATCAAAGTACGATCAACATTTGAGCTGCAGATTTTATGAGCTGTAGGAAGAGTACCAGTCTTTCTCTCTCGCTCTTTCTCTTTCTCTCTCTCTCTCCTTCTTATCATTTATCTAGCTCCCTCGCAATATCTCCTGTTCATCTGATTGATATTGAGATCGCGGTTTATATCTCTACTTCTCTCACAATCTATTATCTATCTATCTATCTATCTACCTATCGCTCTCTCTCTCTCTCTCTCTCTACTTCTCTCTATATATATTATTTATCTATCTACCTATCTATCTATCTCTCGTTCTCTCTCTCTCTATCTATCCATCTTTCTCTCTCACTGTCTATCTACTTATATTTCCCTCTCTTTTTGTCTCTGTTTCTTCCTCTAACATTCTCATTCAGACTGTTTGACCTATTGTACTTTTGAATTTCTCTCTCTCTCTCTCTCACTTGCTCTTTTTTTAAATCACAATCTCTTCATTTTTCTAGTATATTCTGTCTCCTCATCTTTCCATCTCTCTGTCTCTCTTATTTTCTATCGCTCTCTCTCTCTCTCTCTGATTTTCTATCGCTCTCTCTCTCTGTCTCTCTCTCTCTCTCGCTCTATCTACCTTTCTGCGATACTCTGCCTGCCTTCCCGACTTTATTTCTCTCCCCGAATCTCTTTCACTCTATCTCTATCGCTCCTAGGCACTCTTCTCTCTCTCTCTCTCTCTCTCTCTCTCTCTCTCTCTCTCTCTCTCTCTCTCTCTAATTTTAAAGCGTGTTTACAGTTCGTTGCGTTAATGGATGGATTAATGCCAATTGGAATAAATTTCAAAGTCAAGTCTTAAACAATTATTTGTAATTGCAATTTGTAAACAATTTGTTAACATATATATATTTGTTGACTAGCTGATTATAGAGGCAGTTGAGCTCATGGCCTGTGGCATGTGGCATGTGGCATGTGCCACACACAGCATTCACACTGAATGCTGTTAAAGAGCCGCCATTAGAGCGAATGCAAAAGCTAAAGCTGATACCAAGTCGACTAACTGTTCGCTGCTCGCTGACCATAAGTCGGGGCGTGATTTGCCATGAGGTTGATCACAAGGCGGCGGCAGCATTAAGGCGGCATGCCACACTCGGAACTTGGAGATGGCTGAAAACGAGTCTGCATTCGCTCGCTCGAGTTCATCAAGAATCGAGTTGAGTCAGACATTCACATTCACATTCGTCCAAGATCTGAGGCGATCCGATTTGATATCGATGACAATGGTGTCGACAGAGGCATTAACTACCGTTAGAACGCCGCTCTACAAAGCTCAAATGCCGATCCGATGCACGATTTGTCGATTGTGTAATTAGAATGCGAATTAAATTCAATTTCCAATGAAATTAAATAGTGGAAAGAGAGAGAGAGAGAGAGGGGGAGAGGTGGAGCTGGTCCACATGTATCGTCTATTTGGCCTTAACATTTGGCCAAGTGCTCATAACTAAAGCGAACAATGGCTAACACAATTGTCAAATGGCTCGCATTACAATGCAACTATTTGCAGTGTTGAGTAATGCGCTTTGGAGTGTGTATGTGCAATAAATAAAAGAAAACAAAGAATTCTATTTAATGCCCATTTAGCAATTTGTTTATTGTTCGCGGTAATTCGATTCAGAGTTGGAGTTGGAGTTGAATATTGATTTGGTAATGCTTTACCAAAGCTCAATTCTATCAGTTAAGTGTTGCAAAACGATGCTTAGTGGGTTATTTGATGCATATTTGAAGTTTTTTTCATGAGTTCAATTGAAATTAGCGTGAATAATTGTTCAAGTGAGCTGTTGAAATACCTTACATGGGCGTGGCATGCTGACTTAGTGTTGGAAAACGACAAACTGTTATAGAAATAGTTGTAGTTATAATTTCTGAAGGGTATGCAAACTGCCTTTAACTAAAAATATGTTGATATTTATATAGTTAAATAAAAAAATATATTCCAGAGTATAAAAAAATGATTTATTCCCTTGTTTAGCCTCGATAATACAACTAGAATAATATTTCTACATGGGGTTCAAAAAGTCAAGCATTTAACTGCATATTTGTGCAGCCTCCAGCACCCCCAATTCCTCCCCCGCCCCCCACACGCCACGCCCTACGTTAACCGCGTGTCCATTTAACATAATTGTGCAATTATTTAAAAACTGATTTATTTTTTAATTGTTTGTCACTTGAATGACAACAATTAATTATGCAATGCAAAGGCGAAAAAAAAATAAATGAATATAATAAATAAAAGAACATTTCGCAATTATATAAATATCTCGCATTATATAATCAGCGCAACAGCTGGCAAAAAAAAAGTCTATATAAATAGGGAGCTCGGCTCCAGTTTTAATCATAATTATTATAATAATAATAATAATCGTCATCATAATAAGCGCTCAACAAACGGAACAAACAAATGGGAAATGCTTAACACAGCGATTAAAATTTATTGCGCTTATTTTGCATTTATTCGAATTTAATTCATTTTCCTTGCTGGCTTTACGGTATACCCTGTATTTGAGTGGGATGTGGGAGGTATGGTTGTCTATACTCTTTAGAAGAGTATCAATGTATTATGGATTAAGAGCAGAGAACGACTGCAGCTAAAAAGTGAAAAAGCGACTCTCTCTATCTCTTTCTGTCTCGCTCTATGAGAGACTATATAGTTCCCCTCCCTCTCTCCCTTCCTCATGCTTCATTTTGGCAGAGTATAGAAACTAATACTTTGGATAATCGATCAGTTTGAGCCTTGACCTAAAATCGATATAAATCGATAACAAATTTCGTTCACTTTCCAATCTCATCTATCAATCTCTCATTCTCTTACCTATCTATAAATTCCTTAAGCATCTACCACTATCTACCACTCCCTCTGTATGCCCTTTACATTCCATTAAATTTCCCATCTGTACCATTACAGGATATCTTCTAGTCCATCCATTTACAAGAATCTCACGCTAGTCGCACATTTTTATCATTTTACCATTTAATGTCAAAACTATTAAAAAGTTGTTTGCGGATTCATAATTGAAGTGTCGATTAATTAAGTAAATCCGACCCGAACTACCGCAAAACACCCGATTGGCGCCTGCCTCGGTCTTCAATGCCTCAATACCGCTATCAATAAATGGGGAGTGTTTGACGAAGACTTACACTGAGAGCAGCTAGGGAACTTAAGAGTTAGCTATAAAGCATATATAACTTCGATATTTATCGATTGTCCAATTTGCTGAAAGTTCTTGAAAAAGTTTGATATGAAAATGTTTCTGGACACTATTTGCAAAATATTTAAAGTCTTGATATATCTAAGCATAAATCGATCTATGAAATTACCATTTATTATGTCCAGTATTTTCTTTGCATTTATCGATTTCTTTACATTTATCGATTTCCATATATTAGCCTTAATATTAAAGTATATTTATTTTAGTATTGAGAATCTATATGCCGTATATATAGTTTAATCTGGCTTCCGTTGCCTCTTTAACTATTCAAATTTTGTGTAAAAATCAATGATTTCGCCTGCTCGTATCCCCATTTTCCATTCTCTTTGACCTGTATTAACATAAAGGCTCTCAATACTTTCTACCATAAAACATAAT